CCATTGTTAGAAATAACTTTTTTTGAAAGTGGACGTATAATTTTGCGTAGGCCGAAAACACAAATTTTGGTTTAAAAATTTTTAAAATAAAAATTTTGCCAAAAATCCTTAGACATCTTGTTAGTTATTCAGTAAATAATGTGTATTTAAATTTTCAGAAAATTCTGATCAATACAAATGGAAAAATTTTGAAAAAATGGGGTGGACGTATAATTTTGCGTCGCAGTGTATCTTTGAGCGTTTGAATTTAAAAAAAATAAAAAAATATTTCTGTTTAAAAAGAGCATTTATCAATTTCAGTACCTCTTTTTATGTAAAATACAACCTACCCAATAAACTTCTAGGAAAGGAAGTTACCTAATCTAGAAGCATTTTGACACTTAACGGGGATTTAAACTTTGAAAATAAAATGAGAAAAAACAAAATTGTATTGTCGGACTAGATTAAATTTTATTCTTAGATATTTTTTATTTCCGAGTTTTACCAATGAGTTCCATCGCGATTCTTCAGACTTGCATTATCTGTAGCTGTTCGCGTCTCTATTCTAAAAGACAGTTCGTCTACAGTGCTTCCAAGCTCGTAACATAATTTGTACTTGTCCTCTTAATGAATTTCACTTGTTACAATGTGGGAAAGTACGAGTACTAGAAAATCTTAAATTTTGAGCCACAGTCTCCCAAGTTTGTGAAGCTTGTCAATTGGCTTGGGTTGGTGAACATACGTTTAGTAGAGAATTAGCAATGTTGTAAGCGATTACACCCCCAACTCTGCGCGAGCCCAACGTACTGACGTACTGCTAACTTCGCGCCCTGGTATAGTTCTATTGTCTATTCTTCTTTATATTCTCTCAATCTTTAATTTTAAATTAAATTTTAGGAAGAATGTTTCAATCATTTCTTCACAAAAATTTTCTTCTTTCCTTCATAATTTTGTCATTTTTGATAATTTATGTGAATGGAGGAAATGGAGATGGATCTTCTAAGCAACGTGAAACAAGTCCTAAAGAAGAGGGAAAAGCTGAAAAGGAAAAAAGTTCAAGTCCCCCAAAATCTGGAACAAAAAGAAAAATTGGTTGGGATACCATGTTTAAAGGTTTGGGCAAAAATAAAGGTGCGAGTTCAGTATTCGGTGAAATTACAAACGTGCAACTAAAAAATGTATGGAGGGATGCTGCGAAACGATCACTTGTACAGGTATTAAAAAATTTTTATTGTAATGGCTACCTAGAGCGGGTCTTTAATTCATGGTCTGATATGGACAAAACATTGTCATTGATTCAGCTCGATGTCTGAGTCGAATGAGGGTAAAAACCAAGCGCGGGAGTCAAATATCGAGGGAGTATATCTCACCATGCATTAAAGACCCGCTTTAGGTAGATTTTCAAATTTTTTTAAAAACTTTATTTCGTCCCCAAATGTCGGGTCCCCAAAAGTCGGATCCCCAAAAGTTTAATCCCTAAATGTCGCGCCACGGGCTGTAGGGGGCCTTGGAAACTAGGCTAAATGGGCACGTAGTATTTAGGATGAATAGAACAGGAAAGTAAGCTTAAGAGAACACAGGAGGTAAGCTGTACAAAACAATCAACTAATTTTAAAAATCTAACATTGAATTTTCAGGAAGAAGAAAATTTGAAAAATACAGTAAACGAAGCTTTCGAACTTTTTAATCAACATGATTGTTTGAAATTGGTTGAAGAAATGTCAAAATCTCAAAAGGAGCGAGTTAAAGATTCTTTTATTGAAAATAGGCCTGTTGATCTTGCTTCACCAGCTTCCTCTTCTCCTCATTCGATTCCTTCCACTCGACCTCAAAGTTCTTCCTCCCACTCTTCTCATCCTCCAACTTCTCCTAAACCTCTTCCAAGTCCTCCTCACTCTTCTAATCCTCCAACTTCTCCTAAACCTCTTCCAAGTTCTCCTCACTCCTCTCATCCTCCAACTTCTCCTAAACCTCTTCCAAGTCCTCCTCACTCTTCTCATCCTCCAACTTCTCTTAAACACCTTCCAAGTCCTCTTCACTCTTCTGATCACAAAACATCGCCTCATAGTGTTGCTTCTCCTCTTGCTTTACCTGAAGCTGATGTAGAACAAGAAAAGGGATTGGACATGCCTGATGAGATACGTGCCGTTATTAATGAGATAACGTGGAAAAATCATGTAAGTGAAAATTCTTTTTTAATAATCGACCAACAGAATCAAAGTTGATAAGGAAATCCCCGGATATCCGACCGATGTTTGAACAGAAAATTTCCGGATATTTTAACTTTTATCGATCCTGATACTCGTATCCGCTAACTCTGCCAGTCCCACATCTTTTCCCATTTGTAATTCCTAAGGTAGGTGGTGGCTCAACACTTCGAGTTTACTACATATACTTTAACTGGGGTGAATTATGCATGGCTGTCCTCAATTAATTTCTCAAGTGCACAAACAATTTACGCAACTCCTGAAAATTTCAGACAGCACTGCTTATGAAAATTGTTAAAATATTAAAACTCGAAATCTCGGACAAAAATCTCGATATTTTTTAAGATATCGCTCCCAATTCGCTCTCTATCTATGACCTTCAAGCTTGTCTACCATATGTATTTCTTTTAGCTTTACCCTTTAAGTTTACTAAATTTTAACAATTAAAGTATTTATCACCCGATTCTCCATTTAATCAATTTATCAACAAAACCCCTGAAAATGGTCAAGACTTTCATTGCACAATATGTAAGCAAGACTCTAATGAGGAATTATCACAAGCTGATGATCAGTCAAAACAAATTGTTCAGTTAAAGACTTGTGAAGACAAATTTCATTTAGAATGCATTGCTCAACATTGGGGAAAAGGTAAAAAAGATTGCCCAAATTGTCGCCGTAAATTTGAAGTTAAACATGTTGAAGTTAAGGAGGAAGTTGTTGATGTTGAGGAAAGTTAAAGAATTGAGGCTAGTTATAATTTTTTATTTTAATTGGATTAAAATGCTGGAGATGTGGCTTCGGTAGCTAGCTTCGGAGCCGTCTTTGGCGGGGTGCCTGTGCGGGCTACAGAATAAAACATACCAAGCACTTCAGGGCGCTTTTGGTGTACTAGAGAGAAAAATTTACTCGATTATTTGTTACCCGTCCCTCTTTACCCGCAGGCAAACGGGCAAACCATCCCGCATTACCACAGGCAAACCATCCCTGCAGATAACATCCCAAATACATATAAACTAAAGGGATTTTCAGAATTTTTTTTTAATTTTTAATAAAAATCTTCGTTTTATAGGAGTGATACGTTGCAGATTTAAAGAAGAAAGTGTTTTTAATGGGTTATAAAAATATTTTAAATGGATTATTTAATTTTAACACTTTTAATTTTTTCGAAAAATAGTTTTGTAGTCCCCATTATAAGAAATTTTTTTCACTTGAATATTTAAAAAGACTAAAGGAAAATTGTACAGGCGCTAAGGCAAAAAGCTTTAAGTAAGTACCCCCCCCCCATTTTAATTTTTACAACAGATCCATTTCCGTTTCTGAATTTTTGGGATCTAGAGACTTTCGAAAATCCCCATTCTAAATAATATTGTTCTAAATATTCTTTCTATAACTTGCCCCCTCCAATGCCCCTCCTGAGTTAAACTACCTAAGTTAACTCAGGAGGGGCATCGCTCTCTCTCTATAACGAGCGTGGGGTTCCCCGAAACCCGATCCAGAGAAAAGTTGGGAAACCAGACTTAACAAACACGTCTATGAAATAGAGGTTTAGCTGTCTTTAAGTCCTTGTTGAAATACCTTATATTTTCTAGTCGCTGTACAAGTTTCGAGTTATCTAAAAATCCCCTTCATAAAATTATTTTTATTTATTAAATTTAGAATAAAAATATGTAGCCGTCTGTTTTCGTAATTTAATTTTTTTTAAATTAATTGCACTTTTGTTTAAAAAATTATTTTGTAATTAAAAAGCACTTTAATTCCCACACTTATTTTAAAATATTTTAAAGTGCAAATTTAACGGAAATAATGAGAAAAATATTTAAAATTAAAATAATATAAGTAATTTTCTCAGTCAAATACTTCCTTCTTTTTTTATTTTTAAATAATAAACTTTTATTCCTTTTATTCATTAATTTATTTTAAAAATATTTTTTAAAAATTTGGGATTAAATGTCCACAAAAGTTTTCGGATTTTAAATTACCTATATTCGAGAATTCACGATTAATTAATCCAAACCAGACACCGAATGTGAACTACTTTAGTTAATAAATCAGAGTCGAAACAAGGGGGTCTGAGAGGGTATTATCAGTTAATAACTGGTAGTAAACAACAAGACTAGGTAATTTCTTTTGTCTTAACCACTATTTTGTTTTTTATCTGAAAGTTGCTTAAAAATTAATTTTTAAGTCCCAATTTGTTTTTTTTAACTTTTAAGAAAATTAAATTTTTAAAATGTTTATTTTATTAATTTTAATTATTCAAATTAATTTTATTTTTTGTCAAGACAACGAAGAAATACGTAATTGTATGTAATATTTTTTTAATTTTTTAATAACGGCAATTAAGTCGTTTTGTTTTTGATAAAAATCGGCATTGTTTCGAAGTTTTAAAAGCTAGACATTTATTGTGTGTTAACTAATGGCTATAGCTTTTTTCAGATTAATACAGAAAAATTTTTGGTAGTCAATTTCGGCATACCCTTTATGTTTATGTCTACTCAGAGATTTTGAAGGATATTAGGGGGATTTGGAGCAGATGGGCGAAGTTTTTCTATTTACCTTGAAGGGCAACAACGAAACGAGAAAAATAATTTAAGGGAAATAATTTTAATTATCACTTAAAACATTAGAAATCTTTCTCTATCCCCCTCTCCCTTCCCTCTAAAATCCCTATATATTCCCTAATATAACTCATGCCCCCTTAAATTTGCAGCACTTTTAACCAAAATAAACACACAAATAGAAATTCAAACCCAATTTATTTCAAATATCCAAACATTGGAAGACTTTCTTAGTGGAAATAAATTGGAAATAATTGAAGATAATCATCTCTTTCCTTTTTTTGTATTTTTAAAATTATCTAATCAAAATGAAAAATTGGCTGGGGAAAAACAAAAAATAATTATTGGATGTTGGGAGGTTTTAATGAAACAATCTAAACAATTTATTAATTTGTTAAAATGGGGAAGTGTTGAGGAATTGGAAAATATTGCTGGAAGTAGTGATAACAAGCATCCTGAACCTCCTTATAATTTTTCTGAAGTTTTTGGTAATATTTTGATAATTTGAACCTAAGGGGTATACAAATTAGAAGTTTGTTGGTATTGAAGAGTAAAGTTGATTTTTATAATATTCCGCCTGTTTTTATTTTGCTAAACAGGCGGAAATAAATATAATTACTTCACATAGTTATTTTATTAATTCCGCCTGTTTTTAATGAAATAATACTTATGAAAAGAGGCGACATTATTAAATAACAATTAATATTCCGCCTGTTTAAAAACAAAAAAATTAAATAAAACATTCCAAAAACAGGCGGAATTAAATTATATATTATTTAAATTAAGATATTGACCAATTTGAAACTTGGTATTCAACAACAATAAAATGGGCAACTGAGGGAACAGAAAATTTTTCTGATGCTAATATTTTGGATTTTAATACAACAATTAAATTTGGAAATTATTTTAGAAAATTTTCGAAAGAAAGAAATGAACATTTGCAAAAATTGGTTGAAGAGGAGGATAAATGTATAAATTATTATAGACATTTAAAAATTAAATGTACAGAGAAGGAATTGGAAAAATTTGAAAATACTCGAATTTATTTATACAAAATATATATTAAAGCTTATAATCTAATGAAAATGTTTGATTTTATTTGGAGTATTTTGTATGCTTTAAATCCCTATGGAATGAAATATTTATTGAAGGTAGTTGTTAATGACTGGCAAAATTATTATTTTGGGTCCGGAACCGGATTTTTGAGTTCACACTCATGTCGGACCGGATCCGGATTTTTTCCCGGATTTTTCAAAAAATTTTTTTATTAATTCTTATGTGGATTAATAAATCCAAGTCCCATATCCGGTCCGGTCGGATCCGGTCCAGCGCAGGTCACTGTATAGAAAAAGCGGAATTTTAATTTTCAATAAAAATTCTTCTGTTTTTAGTTTATTACTAAACTAAAATCATTGCAGCTTAATTAATTTAGCCTGTTTTTCTGATTATTAATTTATTCCAAACAGGCGGAATTCAAAACATTTAAAAACATTTCAGCAAAGAAAAGAAGCGTCCAAAACATTAGTTCTTTTGTTTTCCCTCCAACATGTTGCAAATCAAGCCAAACAAGTTTTAAACAAGCCAAACAAACGTCAAAAAACAAAAACAAGTTTTGAAGCAAATTTAAATGTTCAAATAAATAATCCTTCCCATTTAATTATTTCTGAATTAAAAAACTTTTATATAAACTTGTGTTCACAATGGCTTTATGGGAAACAAAAACGTCCTCATCTCCGCAAAACAAATGTAAAATTAGAGGATTGCAAGCTTGAGAATGTTAAGAAAAGAACAAATCGGAAAATGAGTGTTTATAATTTGGAGGTTACTGTAGAAAGGAATTTGTTGCTGATTGTTGGGGAATTGCTTGAATTGGAAATTTAATTAATATTAAAATTATTTTTTTGGGGTTAATTTTTTTAATTTTTAAAAAATTTAAGCACTGGAAAACAAACCACAAAAAGGCGGAATTATTAAAACAGGCTGAATTAGTATAAAATAAATTTATAAACAGGCGGAATTAAAATTAGTTATATGTATTTTAAAAATTCCGCCTGTTTTTAGTTTATTTTTATATAAAACATTACACAACTTGTTTTAATTCCGCCTGTTTTCAGGTTATTTTTAATTTGTTTTTAAAATTAAATTAAACAACGCCAGCCATCCTTAACATTTTTCCTATATGAACACTTTGTTTTAGCCTCCACCTTTTTTAAGACTTGTTTTTGGTGGTGGGGTGCATATTAGGAAAAAGTCAAGAACTGACAGCGAAGTAAATTTTTAAACAAATTTTTCTATTATCTAAAAAATATTTAAATAATTTTTTGAATATTTATTGAAGAAAAGAAAGCATTAAAATAATAATAAGAGAAAATATTTTATTTTTTATTTATGTTAGCGAAAATCAAACAAATAAATTTCATTCATATTTATTCTCCCAAATTTTTTTCCTTTGTTAAAAGCAGCTTTTTTTCTTCCATTTTTAAGAAAAAAAATATTTGAGATGATTCATTTTAAAGTTTTTGGACAGTTTTTATGCTATTCTGAGTAACTTAGAGTATTAGTAGTGGGGAGCGTTTTCTCCTACTATAACTTTTAATATCAGAAACCGTTAAAGAAGATTTTTACATCATTCGATAGAGAATTAAAAATACTATGAAAAATAGCATATTTTTTAAAATTTAAATCAAGAGAGAGAAGAGTTATAAGAGAAAAACTTGTTTTATAGGCAATTTTGCAGTTTTTTGAGCTAAAAATTTTTTCTCGGAATAAAAATTTTTTGTTTTTGATTTAGTCTTATAGAGAATTCAATTCTCTATCAGACAAAGTTTATAATGTTTCAAAATCTTTTTCTGTTCAAAAGTTATGAGTGTTGCCGCACCCCAATACTCAACACTCTACTACTATATACTGTTTACAGTTAAAATATTTTTGTTCAAATATTTGTTTAAAACAATTTTCTACAGAAAAGTTTTTATATATTGCCAAATGTACGTCTTTTTAGAATAGAGAGAAAAAAATAAAACTGAAAAAGAAAAAATAATAATCATAAAAATGATCATTATTTTTGATGACTGGGTTTTGGTTGTGTATTTACTTATCTTTAAATAAATACAAAATATTTAAAGAAAAAAATTTTTTGATTAAATTTTGAAATAAAATATAGAAATCTTTAAATATATTTAAAATGAAATTAAAATTGAGTTAAGAACTTTAAAAATTAAAAAAAATTTTTAATAAATATTTTTATTAAAAATTAATATTTGTATTAAATATGTGGAACGACCACGACACTTTAAATTAAAATAAGAAAAATATAAACAATTTTAGAATTAAAAAAATATTTTTAAAATATGTGGAAAGGATGTATGTATAAATAAATATTTTAAAAATTATTTCTATTCCTTTTATTAAAATTTATTTTGTATTTTGTCTTGTGTGTTTTGACCCGGACACGCATTGTTGCCAACGCTTCAACTTTTCATTGAATTAATTTTTTGATAGGAAATTGATATCATTCGATAGAGAATGAAATTTGTTACAAAATTAGAGAGGAAACTAAATTTTATGAAACTAATAAAAGTTATGATTGGAAAACGGACATTTTAATCAGGAAAAGGAGCTTTTTTGGTTGTTTTTTGGTCTAACTTTTTTTGCTAGAGAAAAATATAAACAAAATAACTTAATCTCAATTTAATTCTCTATTGGAAGACATAAATATTTCAAATATTAATTTAATGTTTTATGGTTTTTCTTGGCTTTAAGTTTTAATTTTATATCTTTGCGGGAGAGTAAATGAATTTTTCAAAAAATATAGCAATTGCAAGCATCTCTCTCCTAGCTTCTACATATATAAATTTCAGAATTTTTGTTTATTTATTTTCAAAGTTGGAGGAAGATGGCATTTTCAGGACGATTTGAAATTTCTAGCCATACTTCAAAAAATAAAAAAAACAAAAATTTTAAAATTTGGAGAAATGTTTACTGACTATATTTAGGAAATTAAAACAAATTTGTAAAAATTTAGAAGCTCTAATTAAAATTTTGTAGGGCCTCAAATCTCCTAGACTTACTCTTTTATACAGGCATTTTTAATTTAAAAAATTTTCTTTTAAAAAATAAATAGGTATAATGTAATTAAAATATTAATTGATGAAAAAATAAAGGTAAAATAAATAACTCTACAAAAATTATCATCTTAAAAAAAAGGTAAAAATTGCTGATAATTTTTACAAAATATATTTTCTCGATCCTTCCCTCATAATAATTATTTTACAACATACAATTAAAAGAAATATAAAAATGTTAATAATTTTATATTTTAACCGCACCATTTTTTATTTTTTGTTACTTCACGTGTCTTTTTTTTAATTTTCTGGCCGTTTTTTTAATTGCAAATATACAATTCTCGTGATTTTCTTTAAATAGGGTCAGCGTTGATAAATTAGTAGTTATATTTAAATATATTTGGTTAATTTGGAAGGGGGGAAATGTTGCGGAAATGGGTGGGGATTAAAAGAGATTAATTTTTAAAAATAAATTTAATTAAAGAAAGCGGAGAGAACAAAGATATATCTTTACTTAAATATATATATCTTTACTTAAATATAAAGATATACATTTTATTTATAATAGTATTAAAAATGATTTTTTCTTCTGTTTGTTTTGTGTTTGTGCTTATTTTATTCTTTTTTTTGTTTGTTCTTCCTATAAGCTTTAAAAACATTTATTTTTACGTTCCAACAAAAATAACTGAAAATAAAGAGAGTAGTTAACTAGACCCCAATCGCTCCACATACCCAAATCGCTCACCCCATTTATCACCTGTCACATCAAACCTGAGCCTATAGGGGGTATTTTTCTTTGAACTTGCCGATAATCCTAAGGGATTAAAGGGGTTTTAAGCCCATTAATCATCCATTGTTTTGTTTTGGTACTACCCAAATCGCTCCCAAATCGCTCTTCTACCCAAATCGCTCACCCCATTTGATGAACTGTCACATCAAACCTGAGCCTATAGGGGGTATTTTCTTTTCATCTTGCCGACAATCCCGTGGGTTTAAAGGGGTTTTAAGCCCATCATTTTTGTTTTGGAACAACCCAAATCGCTCACCTCATTTATCACCTGTCACATCAAACCTGAGCCTATAGGGGGTATTTTCTTTTCATCTTGCCGACAATCCCGTGGGTTTAAAGGGGTTTTAAGCCCATTAATCATCATTATTTGTTTTGGAACAACCCAAATAGCTCCTCCCAGATCGCTCCTCCCAGATCGGTTCTCCCAGCTCGCTCACCCCAAATCACCACAAACCCAAACCTTTTGATACTTTTTTTCTTTTTGACTTTGCAAATAATATCTACCTTTCGAAGGGTTAAAGTGTAATTAATCAATGTTTTTTGTCAATTAATCAAATTACATATATGATTAATTACCTTTTATGAATGATAGAATTATCTCGGCAATACTGAAGTGGCATATACTCTACAAAAAGTTATCACTGATAAACGATGTCACAGGCATAAAAAATCGGTTCTCACGCTGTAACTTTTTTTTGAGATCATCAGATCTGATTGAGCCAATTATGAAAAAGATATCGAATCGAGACTTTACAAATGATATGAGAATTATTCGAATTGGTCGAATAACAGGAAAGTTATGACCATATACTGAATCGGCGGATGCTAATCGGCGATACTGAATTGTCCTTAACCGAAATTACCTTTTACTTTGGCAAAACGTTTTTCTAGAACAAATTGATTTTTATGACTTTTTTGGTTGGGATAATTTTTCGGACAATTTTTGCGGACTAAGAGATTATTTTGTTTATATTACCTAATAAAAAATTATTGTAATTTTAGGAATTAATGACAGGAAATGTTGATGATTGTTTTCGATTAGGTATTGGATCGCCTAAAAAATGTTTAAAATTATACACAGATTTTGATGAGGTTTTTTGTTTATTTTTTAAATTAAAAAGAAAAGTTTCAGTCAGATATCTTGTTGTGTTTTCCTTTGGGAATTAAAATTATAATTGGTGAAACTGAGGGAGAGAGTAAGGAAGGAGATTCAAGTAAAAAGGATGTTGGTTCAATTGATTTATTGGCGTCGATTGAAATTGTGATGATAGAAAGAGTTTGTTTTTCTTTAATTTGTAAAAATTTTGGCTTCCACTTTGTTTTAAAAATAAAAAATTTCATTTATTAAATGGAGTAACTCGTAAAAGATTCGAACCTTCGACCTCGAAAACAAAATTAATGCACTAAACCAGAATTATTATTTTATTCAGGGTCTTAAACTAACCGACTCCTTAATTGAAAAATGTCATGACCAAGGCCTCTCTCGACTCAAAATTCTCTTTTTTTGGCCTTTTCGAAAATTTTCTCATAAAATAGTTTGTACAATGAAAGATTTGTTATTTACAACAGAAGAAAAATCTTTCCTTAAAAATTGGGGAAAGTTTGACAAAGAATATGGAAATGAAGAGGAAAATAAAATTAACAAGAAACGACACGCTTCGGAGGATTTTAAGGTTTTTATTGTATTTAAAAGTTCAAATTTCCTGTTTAAATTAAAACACATTTTGTCCGCAAGAAAATCTATTTTGTCCGCAAATTTTTTTGTAGATTAAAAATTAATTTTGTTAATTTCACATAATAAAAATAAATATTAATTTTAGGAATTAATGTCGGGAAATGTTAACGATTGTTTTCAATTAGGTATTGGATTGGCTAAAAAATGTTTAAAATTATACACAGATTTTAATGAGGTTTATTTAACTTTTTAATAATAAGAAAAATATTTTTAGTCAGATATCTTGTTGTGTTCCCCTTTGGGAATTAAAATTATAATTGGTGTAAATGAGGGACAAAGTAAGGAAGGAGATTCTAATAAAAATGATGTTGATTCGATTGATTTTCTGGCATCGATTGAAATTGTGATGATTGAAAAAGTTTGTTCTTTAATTTTTAAGAATATTTGTATTTTTGGTAATGGGTTGTAATTTTTATAGAATTTTGGTAAATTTATTTAAAAAAGGAGTTTAGGTAGATAGGTAGGGTAGTAGTATCCTGATTCATTAAATTTCTCTAGTCAACAATTTTTGCCTGTAATGGGCTCGAATCTTCGGCCTCAATCATAAAATTAACCCACTTAACTAAGTACTTTTTAAAGTGGATTTTTCTTGTTTTTTCAATTCACCTTTATAAATCAAAAATTTATTCAATTAAAAGGTTTTCCCTAGGGGGTTTGAACCGCGACCTCTAACATGAAAATAATTCACTTAACCAGAAAAAATTTTTAACTGTGTAAAAAAAATGTAAATTTTTTTTTATTAAGGCAGATATTTCAATAATGCAAAATTGGGAGCATTTAATAAACATAATTTCCGCTTTAAACCAAATGCCTACAACAGTTTCTACTGATATTACAAGAATTAGGTGTTGGTCTTCATTTGATGGTTTAGCAAAACATTATAGACAAACAATTTGTCATATATTAATGGTTTTGGAATGTATTCTCTGTGAGTGTTTTTATTTTTTTTGTAAATTGGGTTTTTAGTAGAGGTTGAACAGGGGTCGGGTTGACTTTGGTTCGGTAGCGTGAAAATCGAATATTTTGTTGAATCTCGGGTTTTGGGGGTGTTCCCTGAGTTGAGGTTAACCATGACAACCTGTCTCGGACAGTTTACAAGAATAAACCCAAAAAGTTACATCTTTTTCGAACTCCGGTTGATTAGGAACCGAACCGATGAACTGCTGATTTTTAGTCCTTGGCTCAGGTCAGTAACCAACATAAAAAATAAATCCTCGATTTAGTTTTTTCTGGATATTTTTTCGGGGGTTTTAAAAGGGGTTTCGGATAATTTAAAATTTCCTTCTAGATTTGCCCAACATTGTTCGAATTTTGCTGGTTGTTTTTACCCAACATTGTTCGAATATTGTTGGAATTCTGCTACAATTAAACAAAATCTGCCAGAATTTCTACCAATTAAACAGTTTTTTTATCCAAGTATTCAATATTTTCATCGTTTTGGATCAATTTCCCCAACAGAACAGGCAAATGAACGCTTCAAATATTTTGTTGAACAAATAATTCCAAAATGTATCTTTTTTTTTAAATTTTTAAAATTTCTTTTTTAATTTTTTATCTGAAACAGGCAATTTAATATCTATTCCTTCCTATTTTGATTTTATTCGTATTCGAAACTTTTTGAAAAAACGAAATAATGAAACCTTTGTTCAACTACATGAATATGCAGAACAGGAGAAAATAGCTAAACTTAGATTATTTTTCAAAGGGGAAAGAAAATTCATGTTATTTACTGAAAGGTTTGTGTGGATTTATAAAAATTTAGTTTAAAAAATTTGAGGTTCGGGTGGAAGGTGGATAGGTAAGGTCAAGTTGATGACTTATAACTTTGCGACAAAAATAGTTAGAGCTATGAAATTTTGTTTAAGAATGGTTTATGTGGTTAGCTAGCCATTCCAAATTGTTAGAATTTTAATGCTTTTAAAGAAATTATATAATTGGGACAAAATGTATCTAGATAAAGAGGGTCTGGGTTATTTGAGGACTTGTAACTTTGTGATAAAATTAAATAGATTTAAGAAATTTTGGTTAGGAATAGTCTGTAAAGTTAGCTAGACATCAAAATTTTTCAATATAGTTTAAAAACTTTATAAAGTCAGGACAAAATGTCATCTCTTGATTTAATGGGGAAATGGGGGGCAGGCCAAAAATTTTTTCAATTTAAAATAAATTAAAATATTATTTTTAGATTAAACTTCTACTTTCGTTACCAAATTAAAGGAATTCATTCCCTATTGTATTACCAACCTCCAATTAATCCGAAATTTTTACTAATGTCTGCTACGCTGCAAAAAAAAGATTTTGAAAGTCAAGAAAAGAATAAATTGGTAAAATAAAATTTAAAAAATTAAAAACTAGTAAATTTTGGTTTAGAAATTATTTTTGAGCTTTTAAACGTTTTTTCAAAATTTCTAAGAAATAAAGGACTGGAACGGACTCGAACTCCACTTTTTCTGAACAGATTAATATGTTACCACTTAACCCACTTAACCAAAAGCATTTTACCAACCAAACCTTAACCAAAAGCACCAACCAAACCTTAACCAAAAGCACCTTAACCAAAAGCACCACTTAACCAAAAGCATTTTTGGGGAAGTTTTCCTACTGAGTTTTGAGCTTTCAAACGTTTTTTAAAAAGAATTAAAAAATAAGGGACTAACGGATTCGAACCTTGTACACTTTATGGGGTAAGTCAAACATGTTTCCACTTAAGCAAAAAATTTTTTTTGAGAAAAATAAGCCTTATTGGGGTGAAAATTTTTTGAAATTCAACATAATAAAAAGTGAACAAATATTTTAAGACACTCATTCAAATTTTTGTGAAAATAATTAATGGAAAAATTATTACTATACATGCTTATAATTTTGACACTATTAAAATTGTCAAGAAGAAAATTCAAGATAAGGAAGGCATTCCAGATTTTAGTTTGGTTGGTTATATTCTATTCGGACCCGAAAAATTTAATTGATGTTTTTTAGATCTTTGCTGGCAAACACTTAAATGATGGGCGAACTTTAGCTGATTATAACATTAAAAATGAATCAACATTACATATGGCTCTCCGTCTTCTTGGTGGTGTTAATAAAAAACGGAAATACAAAATTGAGGAAACAAAATGTCCTTCAGGGCAATGTTCAGTCAAACTACATTTTGTGAAAAAAATTATTGGAATTAGACAATACATCTGTAGAAGATGTAAAAATGAATCTGTACCAGAATTTTTGGTTTGCTTTTATTTAATCTTTGAGAACTTTTACTATAACAAGATATAGGTGTATATCGATTAAGTCGCATATTTTAATTATAAATTTTACCGTTTTTATTTTAAAGATAAGTTGGAAAACAACATCTGGAAGAGGAGGACCAGCTTCATGGACAACGTTAAGCGACTTTAAATTGGGTTCTACTCTTTTTAATGCTATAAGGAAGGATTTACTTAAAAAAATTTATTGCGTCTGTGTCGAATGTGACGCAAGGGGAAAGATCCGCTTTTATCAGACTTTAGAAGACGGAGAAAAAGGTTTAGATACTAGAGAAGAAGGCATTCCTCCTGATCAACAGCAACGTCCTGTTTGTTAATATATATAAAATTTTAATTATAAGAATTTTAAGCAAAAAAAGAGAAATGTTAAAGCTCGTGAAGTTGAGGCATCTGACACTATTAAAGATCCAACACGTGTGGATATGGAACAGCAAAATAAAAAGGTTTTGTATTCTTTATTTAATATTGTATACAATTATTTGTTGACTTGAGAATTGTCTTGTAATAATTCATCTAAAATATAATATAAAATTTAACAGAAGAAGAGTAAACCAAATGTTTTCGAAGTTGAGGCTTCTGATACCATTGAGAATATGGAGGGTGCAAAGAGACGAAATAAAGTATTTTAAATATATTTTTCTTATGAAAAATATAACTTTTCTATTATAAAGGAATCAAACCGTCAATTTAAGCAGCCGCCAGCGCCGTTTATTTCCGAGGCGCAGGCGGTTGTTGGCACTACAACTGGTTTGGTTGTTGATGAGGTGAATTTTAATATTTACTGTTATTATTCAAAACTTAGGATTTGTCTGACACGCAAACTATTGCGGGCGATATTGAGCCATATATTGCCGAGGATCCGGTATAAATTATTAACATTTATTTATTAATGTTTTTATTAGTTTATTTCTAATATGACAACTTTTGAGGAACCAGTGACATCAGTAATGTCTGAACTGATAGATAAGGTAATTTTTGTGTGAATTGAATCAATTTTTGAGCAATTTTTTATAAAAAAGCAGGTTTCATCGACTTTTTCTAAATCAGCTCTAGTGCAGATGGGACCAACTAAAAATACTTCTATAAAACAATTACCTACTAATTCATCTTTGGTAAATTTAAATAATTTAAAATTTAAGAATTCTTTGTCCAAAAAGGTATGACCCGACCGAATTATATAAAAACCTAAATTTACGGAAATAGGCTTAACCGAAAATTAAAAAAAAACATAATTCCTAATCATTTATTTTTACCCGAATTTATACAAATAGATTTCAACTTGTATTTTAAACAATTTAATTTATAGAGTGTTGGTGACATACCATCATTAGTACCAACAAGTAATAAACCTAAAAAAACTGTTAGATTTGGCAGAACAGTTTTTCTGCAAAATGAGGTATTTATATTTACCTTATTTTAAATAATTATCTGTTGTAATCATAATTATTTAATTATTAAATTTAATAAAATCTATACTTAGGATGAAAATACTTGCGAAAACTGTTTGCCTTCTTCTTCTTCCTCATCCGTAATTTATATCAATTTTAATTTGTAAATATTTTTTGACTTTAGATTGTCACAAGATCTAAATACAAACAATTAACAGAACCTTCTAGAAAAAAAGGTAATTCAAATAATTGAACCTTGTTATATGACTAGGTCCGATATTATGATTTATATTTTCTACTTTGGTCATACACTGTCGAAAATGATAAGCTCCACCTAGTTTTAAGCAAAAAACCTTTAAGGTGTAAAGTGTTTAGAATATAAAATTAAAATTTAGGCACTTTTTGAGGGCGTTTGAGTGATATTTGTTACTTTAAAATAATTTATTGAAATTTCATGAAAATATTTTTCCGAAAAAATGAAAATTGGTGGCTTTTTGCAATTTTAATGGGCTTTCAAAAAATTATGAAATAAAAATTTAATGTCGACTATAAGGGTTTACGTTGATTCTAGGGTTTGTGGATCACGATTTAAAGGTTATATTAGAACTTCATTTCTTTTGTATTTTCAATTGACGTTACTGATATGTTTACTGGAATTTTTGTAGATTTTTCGAACGGGCGGTCCCAAATCCGAAACTTGGGGTGCATATAATTATTTGGCAGGCGTCTTTTAGGAAATAACAGCTATTTCCCCGCCACTCATAAATCTGGTTGTTTTAAATTTAATTATGCTTTACTATAAACTATGGGTTCTTATGATTTTCTGACAGTGTAAGCCTATTAATCCAATAAGTCTTACTATAACTTAATATCTGATATTTTTTAAGTCAAATGGTCTAGTAAGTCTTATCTATTGTTCAATTACTTTATTTAATTATAAACTAAGCATACTGGACATAATCTGCATCCAGTTTTCCTTTCCTTTTTCTAAAGCCTGTAATGGGCGTTTCCTAAATAAAGCCTGTAATGGGCGTTTCCTAAATAAAGCCTGTAATGGGCGTTTCCGAAATAAAGCCTGTAATGGGCGTTTCAAAATAAAGCCTGTAATGGGCGTTCCCGATAAAGCCTGTAATGGGCATTCCCCTTAAACAGGAGAAGTTATATCCATTATGCGTAGTTTATAATTAAATAAAGTGATTGAACAACAGATAAGACTTACTAGATCATTTGACTTAAATGATTATTAGATTAAGTATAGATGAAAAATACAATCGAACATCACTTATAAGATTTTTCTTCACCAAATATAGTGATGTTCTACTGTAATAGGATTAGTTCTAAGGATAGAATTAAAAAAATCTGTTTTAGCTTCTGAGATGACAAGGCAGGAAAAAGATGAACGAAACAAAAAAAGGTTAGAAAAAAGGCTTAAACAACAAAAAGCCGTTAGAGCATATGAATCAGCTCATGGGACTATTGATACAGGTTCTGAGTCTTCATCAGTGTCTTCAACATCCTCTTTCAATGCAGAAAAGAGGAAGGAAAACAATGAAAAATTTAAAAAAATCCGAGAATATGTAAAACTTTAAATAAAAATAAAATATTCTGTTATTAAAAAATTTTTAATTATTACGTACTTGGACACTGGTTCAATTATTTTTAGTATAATTTTAAAATTTTAATAATGAATTAACAAAGTTATAACAATATTTAAAATATGAGTTCTAAATAATATATGCACCGAGAAGCTTTAATAGAAGCAATGGTCTAATATTTTCAATACCCCTCATTCATAGACTTTTAACAATGAATGGGATTTGATTGTAGCAGTAATTCTATTAGAACCTTTACGGTATATAAACATATGTAAATTTTAAAATTACTTTTAATATTAATTATTATGAATAGAGCGTCATTTTAGGTCCAAAAAATCGAAAAAGGATATTAGTTAGGCCGAAAAAAAAAATCAAAAATAGATTTTAAAAATCCGAAAATGCCCAAAATATGTTTTAAGACACGCTCTATTTATGACCAAAGTCAACAATCTTCATGTTGCGGGTCACAATACCTTTAAGTATAATGGGTTTAAATGTTTTAGTGATGGGCACAGAACAAACTATCCCAGTTTTTACACTTGGACGTATAAAATTTGGATATTCAACTATTATGACATCATTCTCATTTGACTCTTCATAATTTCTATTTTTTTCAGTTATTTTTCCAAAATCGATGACACTATCCTTGAATGTTGTATAGTTTAATTTCTTGCAAATATCAGAAGTTAATGTGATTCCTCTTACTTTCAGCATTGTTTTCTCTTTTCCTGTTTCCTTCTCTAGCATTTTTAGCCCATATGCTTTACATGCAGCTCCAACATATTCCTTTATGTTGTAATTTTCATATTCTTCTGCTAATTCTCCTAAATGATACCCCGAAGAAAGTGGGCATTCTTTATTTATTGGATATGAAAATAGAACACTATCAGTATCGCCATAAAGAAGTGAACACCCTGAACATCTTGATATAGTTTGCATTGCTTTCAATAGTTTTATTCTTGCTGCTGATGTTGTCCAAAGTGAGATGACGATGTTTGATGTTTGATGCTCCTCAATGAATTCATTTTTTGTTGAATAATTTATTAAAATTGTTTGTTCAGTTAACTTGTCAACAGAATTTACTTCGATTGATTTATTCTCTAAAAAATTACGAAGTTCGGCTGGAGAATCCGTTATGTGGCATTTTGTTAAAGTATTTCTGAGACTAAATCGGCCCCAGAGAGAGTTAAGCATAAGTTTCGAAATATATCTCATCGCCTTATCTGGGACCATTTTTTCTTTTTCTATGTGTATACCAAATCTCTCTTTACATTCCTTTATGAACTTTTCTTCTTTTTCTAGCATATCGATTCCCTTAGGAAATCCACTTGCGTGAATTTTCATACTCATGAATTCCGAAACATAACCTTTAAACAATTCTCCATCCCATTTATCATAGTGTAGTGCTCGAAAATATTTGGTGACTTTATATCTGTTGTTTAAAGCTTCTTCAAGTTCAATCGAGGTACAGGTCGAAACCCACCCTCGTTTATTGTCATCATGAGGACAGCTGTAATCAGAAATTATTCCTCCTCGGGGAAAGTCTAAAGAACATTGACGACAAAGTGGGAAGAGTAATCTTTCGTCGAATTTTACTGGCATTACAGGAACTTCTGTATATAGAGGTGGAATTAAAAATACTTTGAGAATTCCTCTAACAGGAATTTGGTCTCCGCTTGTCCAATTTACTTCTTGTTGGCTCCTAGGAATAATAATAACTTTTGGATGTCCAACTGGAAATGAAGTCGTTGCAATAGTTGAAGGGTAGAGAGAGTTGAAATCTAAATACGAAATTTTATGTTGATTATCAGCTTCATAGTGTAGACAAAGCGGTCCAGTTCTTCCACCAAAAAAGCAATCTCGAAGGTTGATAGGCCCTTTATCAATATAATTTGCAAAACTTCTTCTCATTTTCCTATTTCTTCTTAACATTTCTTTAATCTCGCATTCCCAGATAACATCAACATGTTTAACATGTTTTCTAAGAATTTCCAATCTAGCAGCATCTTCTTTTCGTACTACCTCTACTGTTTTACCATTTGGTAGAACAAAATCTGGTCTACTACCGTAGTGCCTAGGGCAAGCATGCCAAACGCATCCATGCACTTCGATTGCCCTATCTTCCATTTCTATATATCCATCAACCTTATATCTTCCGGCTACAGTGTGCTCACCACCTTCGGAGTGAGATGTTCGTATTTCTACATTGTTCTTTTCTGCATACCAATCAAGATATTTCATGGCTATTTCGCTTTGGTTGTCACAGGTGTCGTACCCTTTTTCTGGAACAATCGCTAATTGGTCTGGTTTTAAATGATTCAAACGAAAATGCTTCATACAAGCTGAAGCTATTGTCATTGCATCTTGAAGTATATCAATGCCATAAGATTTGTTGTCATTCTTTTGTTTACTTATTTCGAGAAATGAGAGAATCACGAAATATGATTTCGCAACATCTGTGTGTTTTCTGTACTCTAAGTTCATAAAGTTTATTTCCTCTTCTAATCATTGCTGGAACAATTCCTTTCATGAATATTTCTCGGAAAGTCATAATCATGTCATACCTTCCGCCAAAATGAGAAAAAGCTATAGTTGTATAATTTCTGTCAAGTTCAAATAATATCCAGTTGACAAAATCACGTAGAGGATCATTTGTTATTCTTTGTTCATCTACTTTTGATTGGTAAAATGCACGTGTTGAAAAAGTAATATTTCTATTTTTACCGCAAATATTGCAAATTTTATTTTTCAGTTTAAGAAATGATTTCCACTGTTGTTCAGACTCCATGCATTTTGTACAAGTTATAGTTGCTGCTACGAAGTTTACATTATGAAGTCTGTAGGTTTGTTGTTCTGGATGTGTTGTATGCTGAGTGGATTCAAAATCGAATGTAACTAGCCTATATGATGTTTTCTTCTTTTCTTTAAGAGGACTTATAAAACACCCCCTTTCTGAACTATGATATTGCAAACAATTAAAACACCATTTATGTCCGCAACTGTGTTTTTTAGAAGGGTCTTTGTGGAGATTCCTAATATTCCAAATTATACCACACTTTTCACATTGTTTTGATCTTAAACAATTGTTGTTTGCGTTGTGATATTTAAAACAATCACTATTCCAAAATAACTTTCCACAATCATTACATTCTTTCCTAAAGTTGTTGGATATGAGACATGGTCTTTCTAAACCTACTCTTCCACACAAATGGCAAAGTGACTTACATTTTCTATCGTGTTCACTAGCTCTTCTATACTTCTTTTGACAAGTATAACAGTAATTCCAATGAGTACCAAATTGCGCACCAACTGTTCTTATTCCATCAAAATGTTCATTAGAGTAGTATATAGGTATTGCAGTATTAAAATTATCAGATCCATAAACATATTTTGGTTTATTTTCACATCTATCACCAAAGACAAAAACCTTAAATCTGTAACCATTCCTCAAGTATTTCTTGTTCCAATAGTCAACCACTTTTGGAACATAGATTTTAGCATCATAGCTTGATTCATACAATGGAATATCTGCTTCTTTAATTAAATTAAGAATATCATTTTGTTGTTTTTCTAATTGATCACGATGATACCGTCCAAAGTTTCTATTATGTCCTAATTCTTTTATTACATATTTTTTCGTCAATTCAAGCGCGTAAAAAAGACAATAATTATCACTAAAATTTCTAATTTGAATAAGCCAACATTTATTATTTTCGCTACGAGATTCTAAAGAACTTGATGCTATTGATGGAGCTCTTCCCTTAATTTGCTTTTCTTTTGGAAGTGATGAAACATCTATCGTGTCAACTGATACAGTGAATGGCTCACCCATTAGTGAACCTCGGTCTGCTTTTGACTGCGAAACCAAAAAAAATCTTTGTAAAATGTTTTCGACGGTATCTTCGCGTATGGTACGAATTGGTATCCATATATCACTATCCAATAAAGGAGACGATATTGTAGCGCCGAGATGATCAGCTTCAACCCCTTCTTCTCTTGCAGCACATATAGCTTCATTTATACACTCATTAAGAATTGTTCTAATAATATCTTCTGGATTTTTTGTGACAGCCTTTATTGCAAATTTTGTTACAACTTTCATTAATTTGAATCTTTTACAATAAGTTTTGATCGAACCTAATTTTTCTATATACTTTTCATTTACTCCCATTCCTAATTGAATACTATTATCCTGATTATTGTTTGACAATAGGTTTCTAATTAGAAAACGTTGTTGATTGTTATTGTGTTGTATAGGTACATTCTCTAAAATTTGATCAATGAAAAATCTTGGTTTTTTTGGAGGACTTCCATCCGACATTTTTATTTTAAATACTAAATTTAAATGAATAAATGTGTAAATATTATGGCTTTTATAATAAAAATTTTTCAATCAGTTCAGTATATCAAAAAAAAACTGTTTTAAAGTTGTTTTAAAGTGGACAGTTTATTAGCAAAATATAAAATTTAACCTGTCAAAAATTGTGCCGTCCTGTGTCAAGCATGTGGGCGGAGTTATAAATTAGAAAAAATTTAACAAACCTCAATATTTATTTCAATCACACACAACAGAGTGTCCGTGTCACCTTGTATCAGGTTAGTGGGCGGGGTAAACTATTTAGGCGGGAAAATTATATTCAAAAAATAAGTGCTAAAATAAATCAAAAAAAACTTATTTACTTCACAAATATGATAAAGAAAATTAAAGTAAACAAATATTTTAAGAAACAGATTACTTATTAGATCAACAAATATTATAATTTAACAAATATTCAAAGACAATGAAACTCTGATTTTTGTTTATTTTTATATATTAACTATTTATATCTAAATAAGAAAATCTCATTAAATAATTCAGAGTTAATCATTGGCCATCTCGATTACGTCTAGTTCGACGAAGAAATCGGATAAATTTAGTCTTACAAAGTAAACATTTTAAAGATAGGTCTTGTTCTCTCAAAAAAGGATGAAATTTAATTAATTTATTTAAGTTTAAATCATTAAAATTAATGTACTCTGTACCAAATTCAACGAGTTTTTCCCAAACAATCATTCTTTTTAACTTCAATTCAATATTATTTTCAACACACACATTACAGTATGCTATACAAGAGCACGCATCAGGAGTATATATGATGTTTACCTGATTCTCCTCCTTTTGACAAATAACGCAAATATTAGATGTAATAAAGTTTCTCACATCTTTAACATTTTTATATTTTTTTGCCTTCTCAATTCCTTCCGCAACGGGCTCATCGTAAATACTTCCAAATAATTCTTCATCAAAAAGTAAAGGTTCAGGAAGTTCCAGCTCTACAGGTCCTCCCATTTCAACCTCCCAAGGAATAGTCTCCTCTATGAACCCTTCCTCGAAATTATCAAGAGACCAAGGCGAATGAAAGCCTGGTGTTGAAACTTCTAGTAAATTTTATTATATATTAATTATTTTATAATCAATAGGGGTGCCAATTAAATGGATATAAAATCCTAAAATATGGATATAAATATGGAAATAAAAGTAAATATGGATATAAAATACTAAAATATGGATCAAAAATAGTGAAAAGATATTTTAAAAATCAGTATTTTAACTAGAAAACGATAATTTTGCCTATAAATTTGCATTTTCATTTTAGAAGATTTAATGGATTTAAAATTTGTGTTAAAATTTTTTTGAAAATAAATTTTTCTGAAAAATTTTTGAAAAAATTCTTTGATCAAAAATTTCCAAAATTTTTTAAATTTTGGAAAAATTGACCAAATATGGACCAAAATATTCAAAAAAGTAGAAATATTGATATAACATATAGATATAAAGGCTAAATATGGACAAAATATGGAAAATATGGGCATAAATGCAAAATAAAAATATAGAAAATATGAATTTTAAAGACCATTCTAGAAACCCTAAAACGTGCCAAAAACATGTTTTTTGTGCATTTCACAGTCATAGGAATTCAGGAAAAAATGGTTTTCCATATAATTGGCACCCCTAATAATCAAATACCTTGATATAATGGCCATGGATCTTGCTCATAGTTTGGAATTGGATTATTTATTGCTGGACTTAATAACTCAGTTAATCCAAAAATTGAAGAAGCAGATGACGATGTGTTATTTGGAGATAAAAGAGCATTATTGAGGGTTGTATATGTTGGTGTTGGTTCTTTAAAAATTTAAGAATAATTTATCAGCTGATTAAAAATACATACCCAGCCAAGGTCCAGTCTCCTCTAAGAACCCTTCAGAGAAATTATTAAGAGACCAAGGTGAATGAAATTCTATTGTTGAAGCTTCTAATAAAGTTTATTATATATTAACGAATTTATATCAATACCTTGATATAATGGCCATGGGTCTTGTTCATAATTTGGAACTCCATTATTTATTGTTGGACATAATAACTCAGATACACCAAAATTCGAATAAGCAGACGACGATGTTGTATTTGGCGATAAAGGTCCATTAGCTGGGTTTGGCTCTTTAAAACAAAATTAAGTAAAACCGTTTATCACTGATTAAAAATACATACCCATTTCTAATTCGTCGACTTTAATCCACCAATTACTTGGGTGAGATACTGGATAAGGAGAAATTTTTAAAAAATTTTTAACTGTAATGTAAATCTATTTAATAAAATGTGGAAGAAATCTATTTTCCAGGATAAATTTTTATAAACAAACCACAAATCAGTACACGAATTAAATCTTAGAAATCCTCCCACTTTTTTATCCCTACAAACATTTATCTTCCCGCGCCAGCCTAGGAAGGGAAGTGTGTAATTTGGCGCCAATCGCAGGAAGAAAAATATTACACTAGTCTACTAGGCCTATATCTGTTCATTACAAAATTAATTATCTAGAAGTATTAAAATGTTTATTTGATATTAAATAAAACAAAAAATATTTGAAATGTGAATTAATTAAAAAAAAAGATTTAATTGTGATATATTAAGTTTAAATTTATTTTCTTATATTGTTTTTTCATATTCTTTTTTCTTAATTACCCATTCGCATAGAACATCTTTAACATGCATGTTCAGTTGAACACACTGATCACATAGTTCAAACATAATTTTCACACCTCCATCTGGTTTCTCAACTATACGACTTGTACTATGAAAAAGTACATTAGAACAAGTTCTACAGAGTCGAAACTCAAGCCGTGGAATATATTTCATTCGTACTAATTTCCATAGAGTTTTGCCTCTGGCTGAAACATTTGGTTCAGATTTTTTTACAGAATTCTTTTTTCCAACTAATTTTTCACTAGATAATCCATCACCTAAAGTTATAATCTGAGGATTTTCATTTGATTTTTCCATTACTATTTCTATTTCATTTTGCTCTGGTTTTGCCAAGCTAGGAGAATTTGTTTGAGACATTTTTACTAATTTTATTTCAAAAATATAAATGATTTGAATCCGAAATTCTCTGTATTTATACTAGGGGTGTGTCTATTTCAAAAAATGGGCGTGGCTATTCCGAAATCTTTAGTAAAAAATCACTCATCAGAATAAATTAGTTTATTTCCAAAAACCCAAAATTTCCAATGAGACGCAATACCGATCAATTTAAAGTGAACATGATAGTATTAGTAAAGAACAAAAATAAATATGGAAAAAATGTATGGTTGTCAGGAACAATAATCGATATGGTTGGAAAAAAATGTAAAATATCTGTTCCTCGATTGAACTCTATTATTAGAAGATATGTTTGGCAGATCAAAAAATTTAAATTTTCAATTGTAAACCTCTGTTCTGAAGAAAGATCAATTATTAAACTATTTGATAAAATGAGTTTAAATGGTCAACAGAGAGCTAGGAGATAATTGTGGCCTTAACAACACTATAAAAAGGGTTAAAAATCTTTTCTAGTCTCATTTTACATAATTATAATTAAAATTAAATTAAAATAAAAAATGTCAAATTTATTGGAAAATATTTCAAAAATGTTGGATTGTACTGAGGAATCTGTGCGTTTTAAATTAACAAATAATTCTGAAAGAGAAAAAGTTCTTGATGATATTAAGGGAAAAGCTTTTAAGACAACCTACTTTGATAAAAGCGGTGCAAAAAAAATTATATTCTGCGATGGAATTACTACATTAGGATCTCATCAAATATGGGCATATGGAAATCTTCGGGCACCTTTTAATATTAATGTTAGTGCCTATTTTCATGCACGACACAAAATTTCATTGAAATATCCATTTCATCAATGTGTATTCTATAAAAACTGTTACTATCCGATAGAATTGCTTGAGCTTTGTAGTGTTAATGAGGAAACTGATTCTGAATCGTCAATTATTTTGAAAAATAAGCGCTCGCACGCTTCATCATCATCTTCATCAGTTTCTGAAATATCAGTTGATACGGTTTGCTCTAATTCGACATCGAAAGAAAAAGATATTCTTCGGAAAAAGAAAGATAATTCACATAGGCATGGGATACTCTGGCTTCATGACACTGAAAAGAAACTATGGGAAAAGCATGATATTATTCTTTTTCAAAACAAGTAAATTTGAATTTTGATTTTTAATTTCTTAACTTTTTCTAAATTTAATCTTTTATTTACTAATTTTACATTTTTACCCCTAAAATTTATAACTTTATAACTTTAATATTTTCAAAATATTTTCTTTATTTTTTAATATATTATAATATTTTAACTAATAAATTACTTTATTTTTATGAAATTTATTAAATATATTAAAAAACATTTATTTTACTTGAAATTAAGATATAAAATTTTTAATATTTTCTTTATTATTTTTTTTTACTTTATCAAAGAACAATTTCTTCAAAATGTGCTGGTTCAACAAAAGCAGGATTTTGAACAACAAAAATCTCGTTCATTTCAATACCATTATTTGCTGCCACATTATTAATTGGTGTATTTATTGCATCACGGTATAACAAACTTAATAAAATTTTATTATGAAAAAGCAAATTTTATTTTAATATTAAATTAATTTGAAATATTAAATAAATGTACTTACTATAAGGCAATCAAAACATATATAATTGAAAAAATTAAATATAGCAAAAATAAATAAAATATCAAATAAAATTTGGCCTCCATATCTGAGAAATTTATCATATTTCAACTAAAATAGTTTAATTTTTTAAAGTAAATTTAAAAAATATTTTAAATTAAAAAAGAAAACTTAATAAAAATTTCTTATAGGAAAAATATATATTAAAATTTAATTTGAATATAAAATTAATTTGAATATAAATTCAAATATAAAATTTTATTTAAAATTTTTTTTTAAAAATATTCTTTAAAAGTTAAAGTAAAATTTAAATGCGCTAAATGCTTACCACTTCCAATTCATAAATAATATATATTTTTTCACAGATGTTCATTTTAATACAATAAATTAGAACAAAAGAATTAAATGTTCTTTTAATTTACATACAATTTCCAATCTATTTTTAAAATAAATTTATTTATAAAATTTCAAAATGTCAATTTTTCAAAAATTTTTTACAAGATTTTTAATAGGCCCAACCTTATGGCTTATTGGTTACCCTCCCAGATCGCTCCATGCCTTTAGGCAGCCCTCAGATGATTGAGCTATTTGGGTTGTTCCAAAACAAACTAATGGGTAATTAATCACCTGAAGAATGATTAATGGGCTTAAAACCCCCTTTAAACCCACGGGATTGTCGGCAAGATGAAAAGAAAATACCCCCTATAGGCTCAGGTTTGATGTGACAGGTGAAATTTGGGGTGAGCGATTTGGGTATGTGGAGCGATTGGGGTCTAGTTAACTACTAAAGAGAAAAATAAATAAAAATGTCTTTATTTTACGTTTTCGAGAAATAATAAAAAATAAAATTTTTAAATTAATTTTCACCTTCATTCCAATATTTTATCTAATTGAAGCGCTTCCCCAACAATAATTAACAAACTTCTTTCAACTGATACTTCCAACAATTTTACATATGTTTTTAAAAATGTTTTTTTCTTAACTTTTTCAAACAAACAATCTTCCCTTTTAACATTTGTTTTTCTCTTGTTTTTAGCAACTTCTTTGTATATCCAAGTTTCACACAAGTTCATATAAAAGGTTAAAAGTTCAGAAAATAAAACATGTTTTGGAATAATGTTTGAATGAAAATGTTTTTCTAAAATGTTTTTGTCAGCTCTTTTTATTTTCAAACTTGTTTTTGGATAGTTTAAAAGTTGTTTTGTTTTGTAGGCTATATGTTGTAAGGAAAACATTGTTTGAAGAATATTTGCTTTTTGTTCTTGTAACTTAAACAAAACATTTTATCATAATTATATGTATAGTGTTAGAAATAATTCCGCTTGTTTTGATGTTTTTAAAAATCCGCCTGTTTTCCGTTTATTTCTTTGTTTTCCGTTACCTATTTAATTTCCGCCTGTTTTCCGTTTTTCTATTTAGCAAGTTTAATTAATAAATAGTATTTTCTGTCTACTATTTTCAAGTTTATTTATTATTAAAAACTTACTCTGGAAAGATATTTAAAACTTTCCTCATACAAAGTTTCCGAAACATAATTAAATAGTTCTTTTAACAAATATGCCTTTATAAAAACTTTGTAAATATAAATTTTAATATTTTCAAGTTCATTTAATTTATCAATATCAGACTCATCTTTAAGCAAAATTTTTTCTCTATCATTTATTAAATGTTTAAAAACTTCCTTTCTTCTTTCTAAAAAATTTGAAAAATAATTTCTAATATAAAGAGGATTATTTTTATTATTTATATTAATTTGTCCTTTTTCTCCAAATATTTTAGCTTGATAGAAATCTGTTTTGTCAAAGAGATAGCTGTTTACAAGTTCCCAACCAATTGCGAATGTGTACCATTCTTCAAAATGTTTTAGATCTTTTTGAAAAAAAATTAAAATTAATTCCGCCTGTTTATTTCGCAATTTATTTACTCTTTCCCTAGTTATCTATAAACCACCCTCACTTAAATGGCCATAACTTTATCAGAAACGGTCCAAATTTATTATTTTTGGTATTTTTAAGTTCAGCTTGAATAGCCCCTTCGAATGATATATGAATTAATTTTTTCCAATTTTTATAAACTTTTTTATGATTTTTTTGCGAAGCTGGTCCTCTCTTCCGTGGAATTTTAATATTAAAAAAAAATAATTATTAAAATTAAAATTAACTAAATAAAATATTCAAATTATATAAAGGTTTAGGATGCTTGTTATTACTACTTCCAGCAATATTTTCCAATTCCTCAACACTTCCCCATTTTAATAAATTAATAAATTGTTTAGATTGTTTCATTAAAACCTCCCAACATCCAATAATTATTTTTTGTCTTAAATTTTCTGGGTCTTTATTTATTTTATTTAAATTAATAAAAGCCTCTACTGGGAACAGTTGAGAATATAATTCTAATTTTTCTTGGGTAATTTGTTTTTCATCAAAAAAGTCGTAGGTAAGGATTTTAAAATTTGAAATAAATTCTTCCTGTATTTCTATTTGGGTATTTAATTTGATGAGAAGTTCTGTTTAAAAAATATTTAAAATTAATTTTTATTTTTTAAATTAATTTATACTTTCTTTAATTTCCTCACAAAGGCATCCACAAACACAGAAAATAATTAATAATTTAATTAATTTTTCCAGCATTATGTATTTAAAAATAAAATTCCGCCTGTTTAAATTTATTTAAAAATTTTATTTAAATTATTTCTAAAATTAAAATAAAAACAAAACAGGCGGAATTTAAAATGTTTTTTTGTTTGTTGCGTAAATAATTCCGCCTGTTTTAACTTTAATATATTTAAGGGCTTTATGAAAAATAATTATGAAAATTATGAAATTATAAAAAATTATGAAAAATAATTTTGAAAAATTAGAGAAGGCAAATATGTAAAGGAAAGGGCAAAAAGGATAGACAAAATTATATTTTCAATCAATCAGTGTTTATTAAACAAAATTTAATTCACTTAAAATTGCCAAATTATTTCAAAATGTTTTTATAAAGGTCGACGGATCCGGATATTACAAAACTGGCAAGCTCTTCCCTCAATATTCCCATACACTTACCTTACATTCAAAAGAAGAAGGCTGTCTTTCTGAAACGGAAAATAGTCGGAAAAAATAGGCGGAATTTTTTGACAAAAACACGATAAATAAACAGGCGGAAATAGTTGGTTTTAATAAAAACAGGCGGAATTATTTTTAAAATTAAAATAATTAAAACAGGCGGGATTAAAACATGCTGAATTATTCTTAAATGTTTCTTTGTTCTTCTTTTAATGTTTATCTCGCTCTATTCTTTTTCTTTATTTTCAACTTCAACATTTACTGTTTCATTTAATATTTCTTCATTATTTTCATGTTCTTCTACAAACATAGACGATGATTGTTCATTGTTGTTTTTGTTTGTTAAACATTTATTTCTCTTATGTTTTTCCAAAACATTTAATTTATTACTGTTTGTTTGAATACTATCAAAACTTCCAAAACTATTTAAAGAAACATTCTCTCCCTTATAAGACATTACTTGACGTAATTGAACGTGTTTTCTATAATTTAGCCAGAGAATGTTTAACACTTCCTGGGTGAATAGTTCCTAAATAAAATTATTTTTCTATTTACTGAATTGAGAAAATGTAAAAAGATCTTCCGAAAAAAGTTTTTTTTTATTTTTTATTTATTTTTAGATTACCCCTCCATTTGCACTAAGCATCCGTAAAAGCATTGTTCCATCAGCCCGAATCATTTTGTTACTAAACTCGAGGAATATGTAACGTTCTTCTACGGCGACAGAAGGGATGAATCTTTGAAAAAAATTCTATTTTCGGGGAAAAATTTTTTTATTTTGACAGAATGCCCAAAAAATTTTTTAATTTTTTAAAAAATTTATGCATTTTAAAATTAAAAACAAGCTTTGCCACTTGCTAAAGTTTATTTTTTTAATTCAAATTTTTAAATTTATTTTTTCTCTCAAACTTGCGAAAATAAAAAATTCTTCGACTGGCAACACGTGTATTTAATATCCAGTTTATAGTGTCTATTGTAGTTAATATTCCAACCAAAATTAACCAACAATAAAGAAATAAAAATATTTTTTCATTAAACTTTAAAATTAATTTTTTTAATTTTAATTTTTAATTTAAATTTTAACCATATTTAACATTAAAACACATTGAATAGAATAACGTTGAATATTTGATAGTGTTCTTATCTAAAAAATTTTTGAGAAAAGATAAAAGGTTTATTTATCATTTGAAATAGTATTTAAGTTGAATTGAAAGATGACAAAATTTAAAAATTTGAGACATTTCTGGAGAAAGTTATGGGCATTTCTTGGGCCATATATTGGTAAACTTGAAGAAAGTAACGGTCAGTTCTGGGTCTATATAAAATTCAATTTTAGAGCCACAGAACCATAAAATCTAGTACAAATATACTCCATAGTGTCAAATAACTTTATAAAAATTTCAGAATTTTAGGTTTAATATTTAAGAAATTCTGATTAATTTAAAAATTTATTTTTTTCACTCACAGTAA